CACACACAACTTCTGCTTTATATATAGAGAGCATGCCACAACCATTCCAAGCTTGATCCGTTCGCCAAAAATGATTTTCCACACAGTCCCCAATTTTCGGGCGAACACGCAAGCATACAAACACACACACAAACACACACACAAACACACACACAACTTCTGCTTTATATATAGAGGGGATCCCAAGCTTGATCCGTTCGCCAAAAATGATTTTCCACACAGTCCCCAATTTTCGGGTGAACACGCAAGCATACAAACACACACACACACACACGCACACACAACTTCTGCTTTATATATAGAGAGGATCCCAAGCTTGATCCGTTCGCCAAAAATGATTTTCCACACAGTCCCCAATTTTCGGGCGAACACGCAAGCATACAAACACACACACACACACACACGCACACACAACTTCTGCTTTATATATAGAGAGGAGCCTACCGTTGTGAGTTCATCATTCCTTGAAGGTCTCAATGTGGAAGACAGAAACCGTCTTTGCACATAGGACCAGCATGGATTGTGCAACGAAAACTGCTGCATAGGCATATTGAATTCACACCATCGCGTTACTCTATAAGCAAGTGAAAAGCTTCTTCTGCAGGGTCAACAAACGACAGAAGTTACATGGATGCATTTGAAACTGTTCCTCAAATCCAATGAAATCTGACAACAGGAAGTGGTGTAACTGCTTCAAAAAACATTTATTAATCCTCATTTTAAAGAAATGCGCATAATCAGTCTAAGAACTAAAATCTCCAATATGGAAAGATATGTTCAAAAAGTAGAATGAAAAATTCAAGTAAAATATACCGAAGATGATAACCGGAAGATACGCTAAGCCTGTGACTCTACCCAACTCATGCCTCAATTCAGACCTTTCACCACGGGCACAAAGCCTTCATATTGGTGGAACGGGGCCACAATTGAGGTGGTGATTGTACACTAAATAAATGACCAGCAATACATTAGAAGAAACAACTCACTTCAGACACATGACAGAAAATTCTACGTAAAGTATATGTGGGGACAAGCGCTAAGAGAGATATAATTCCATATTATGACATTATCTACGTACAGAGAGCTAATAGCCAAACACCGCTGGTGATGTATAGAGGTGAGCTGCCGAATTATAAAGGTAAGACTCTACCAAGTAAGGCTTTGACCGGTGGCGAGAATGCGTCTGAAAAGAAATGGAAGACAACTAGCATCGATTTATTAAATCTCGTAGGAAAGAGAGTGAATAGCAACTCTCTGAGGCATTCAAATGTAATGGAAAGAGTAAATGAAGTGCTGGCACGAGAAGGCGGCTAAACAGCGGGGAAAGAAACGTGGACGAGGGAATATCTTAATGACAAACAGGGAAAGGAGGTATAGGGAGTAAGTCGAGACCAACGAGGATCGAAATGAACGGGACTGTCTGACGTAGCCCACAGCGTTCAGTTCTCCACCTCGACGTCCAACTCGTTCTGAAGGCGTAACGAGATGAGGAAATCGCACAGTTTCGACAAGTAGACTTCAGGACGGAACTCGGATTCAGTACGAGGTAGTGCTTCGCCCATGTACGAAAGCATCATCAGCACTTGGTCCTGAAATAATGGAATATTTTACTACCGTACTCACTGCCAGTTGTAAATTCGACTAGTTCACCTTGACACGAATTAGTTTCTCAGCCATTTCCTCCAATCGACGGCGCATTTCACCGAGGCGAACCGCCAACACCGGATGCTCGAAGTCAAGCTGCTCTAACTCCATTTGAACCCGCTGGTTGCCCTCGTCCAACCGCAACAGCGCTTCGTAGATGGAGAGAAAAGGTACTGAAAAATTCTTCTTGCTTTAGGCATCATGTACTTTTTGGTCTGTCGGTATTGAAAAAGGGCTGCCCTCAACAGAAATATGTTAGGGAGCAGAGACTCAGAAACAGCACCTATGATCCGCAGTTAATTTACCAAGATTGTGTGCTTGAAATCGTCTGGCCTAGATCGCTCCGCTTGGAATACTGCCCGCTTCCCTCACTTAGTCCTTGCAACGGCTTCAGAATGCATGTTCAGCTCATATCGAAGAGCAAAAAGGGCGTACTCGGGGCTCAGTCGCGTAGTCTCCTGCCTACCCCTCTACCTTATACATGGGTCTTCGCTTCGCTCCTTCTGAATTCGCAGAGCACGCGCAGCCATCGCGCTGTGCCTCTGCTCCGTCTGGACCCTCGCAGCCATCGCCGCGCTCCTTATTACACTCGGATACAGGCAGTAGTCCTACTGGCACAGGTAGCGCTTAGAGAGATGGTCAGAGCAACGAAAGCTTCTCGATATGCTCTTGAGAATGGGCAGTGCCTTTTACACTACTACAGTAACCGACCCAAATGTTGCACAGAATTTAACAAACTGCTGAGTTTCGGTACCTTTGGCTGTAGAACTGAGAGGTTCAACGAGGTCAGCTGCATCTGAAGCGTACGGCGCTCTGGCGCTCGATCTCGTATGAAAGCTGTCACTGTTTGAAGTACAGATGAGCCATCGGAGAGCTGAGCCGAACATACCTGAGACGACTTATATGGCAGTAATCCGTGCTAAGCTAATTTTGACTGTTTACCTCAGCCAGCTGGCTGGTGCAAAACCCGCCGACGACCTTTTCACCAGGCGAGGAGCCGTTCAGATAATTTATAAGCGCCAGGATCGCTTGAAGAATCATTTGCAACTGCTCAGATTCTTGCACAAGTTTGGCGGACGTCGCATAAGAGTCCAGTTGCTGAAAAAAAACCAGAGTGCTAAGCATTTTTCATTTGGGACACAAAATACACAAAATAAAACATACCTCGCTAATAGTGTTGGTAGTCTCATCGAAGGTTGCCGTGTGGACCATTACTGCCAGTTTCTCCTCAGCTCGTTCAATGGCGGCCAGCTAAAAGAGAACAGAGGTTAACAAACTTATTGCTAAATCGATTCATAGTGATCAGAAGCTTATTTTATGGCTCTGCAAAATGCATATAAAAAGTCGAGAACTCGCGCAAGGTCCTTGTGCCAAGGAGATAAAGACGTACGTAGGGTGACAGCAGAGAATTTTTGGAAAAGTCGACTGTCCTCATAGGTACATTTTTGTCTTCTAGAAGCCAAATTACTTTCACGATCAAGTTGGAATATCCTTCTAAGGAGCACACTCAGAAGAAAGTGACATCGAGCAGAGGGGCGGGCAAAATCGACACTCCGGAAATTGCTTCCGACTCGGATCTCAATCATTTTATCGAACAGATCCTGTTTCTGCTCGAACAAAATCCTGGGATCATTCAGCCATGTGTCTTTCAGACTGTCTTGATTAAACTACTTGGTTACTACCCGCTGATAGGCAAGCGTCTTTTTTCTGGCGCGTTTTCGGAACGTTTACAGGGAAGGCAAATAAGGGGATGAAACAAATTAGCTGGCTTACATATTCTCCTTGTAAGAAAAAACAGAGGAACAGGATCAGGAGCAAAAAGAGCAAGCTTTTGAAACAGGGATGGTGGAACAGATCCCCATTGGTTCGTTCGCTTGGGGTCCGGGACGAATACGTTCATAACGAGTTAAGTTGTCAGCAAGCCTTTGTACTGTTGTCGCCTCTTTGCCTTCTGGACCAAGGACCAGAACTTCGCGGGTGCACCCTTTCATCTACCTTATGGGGAGAATGGTGTTCTGGAAGTTCTGTCACATGAAGGTCTCGGTTCTCATTCTTTTCAGACCCTTAGTCGCAGCCTATTCGCTCACATTTGCTCCGTGTATTTCTTTTCTTTCGACTTTTGTCTTCATTTTTTATAGTTTTTTTATTTAGTTATTAGGTCTACTGCGCATCCACGAGTGTACCCAAATAAATAAAAAAATATATTTTCGGATTTTATTTCCTAGAAGGAGTTGGAGTTGGACCTTTAAGCTAAACTACACATGCCGTTGGTAAGAAAGCGCCGCGCCACTTGGAATGCTCTACTATTCCACGGAATGCAACCAAGGAAAAACCTGGAAGTCTCGCGAAAAGTGTGGTCAATAAAACAGGATATGTTGTAGCCGGGAAATATACACCTCATCAAATTGTCAGCGAAAGGAACTCACGTCAATGACGAACTGCTCGGCTTCGGTCCATTGCGAATTTGGATGGGCGGCAGTGAACCGCCGAATCCGTTCAACATCTGCTGCCGACGGCACAGCGTCAAGTACCAATGAGGCTCTCCGCTCCAGTGGTAACCGTCATGTCAAGCCTGCCAACACTGAACCATGCTTTACTGCAGCAAAACTTGCAGAATTATATGCCATGAACTTGAGCGATTCTACTGTCTCTTTTGAAAAATACTCAAGGAAAATTGAAATTTTGTCGAGACTTTGATATAGCCTCCACTGGTTAAGCAATCTTGCATACAAAACCCATCTTGGCAACATTTCTTGTGATGGAACTTTCGCACCTGTGTATAGAGAACTCGATTTCGAACTTTCCTCAGGTTCACCTTCCGGAGGATCTCAGAAACCCGTTGGTGCTGCTCTCGTTCAACAAGGACGAGTCGTCGTCGATTTGCTCATGAACGTACTGAAATTGTTCATTGAAAGCAGCATATCAGAGAACCTTGGATCGACAGTTGCTCCACAGTACAAGGGTAAGCATCGTAGTGTGGAACAGCATAGTTGAGTCGTACCTTTCCTCCGGGAGGGGGAGGGTCGTATATGGTCGGAGTCCGTATGTGTATTTGAGAGACAGTTTGTCGCGCTTGGTCCGGTTGTTGAATTTTTGCGTGATCTTTCCTGTTTCACGTGCACTATACATATACTCCCTCCTTACCGATGCACAGCAAAGTTTTAGGGAAAGAGTAGGAAAATTTTTCGGGAAATCCGGGAAAAAGTAGCAGAAAAGTTTTCGGAAAATTCGGAAAAAAAAGGTAAGAAGTTGGGAAAATTCTCCCTTTTCACAGTGGCTGTATCCTCCTCCTTCTCCACCCGTCCTTCGCTTGTCGGGAACTTTAATATTTGAATGAGAAAACTGGAAAATGGGGAAAATTTGTAGGGTAGGTGTTGGGGAAGGGAGGGGGTCGTACTGACACCCTCTCTCGGAGGGGGTCGTACTTACACCACCACCTCACACGTCACGATGCTGCACCCTGAGGCAGTAACTGCTCACGAACTGGGCCAGCACTTGGAATTGAACATGCTAGGCGTGTTTAGATCGTAGCTGAGCTTTTGTCGTTCTTACATTCACATAATCCTTAGCTCTCACTGACAAGTATTGGGAAAAGCGCTGTAGTGCTAGATTGCTATAGTGCATGACTTCTGGTCTGTGTTCGGACCTTGCGCCAATGGATATCCAGAGGATTTGTGAAAGGAATAGATACTAATCTGCAGACTCCGCCCAAGTGGAGGATTTTCGCGAAAATCCGGGATGCCTTCTGGAAATGCCAATGAGGGGTAAGAAATTCTCCCCGTATTCATGGCAAACTAGATGAAATAGATCAATGGTGCTTCCGGAAAGACGAAAAATTTTTTTTTTTTTTTTTTGGATTGTTTTCGCCCACCACTTTTTTGATTGGGCAAAGGTCAAGATGTACAATGTCTATTCGCGAAAATATGATGGCGTGGCAGCATACTTCATTCGAACATGACCGCCTGCTGCGCTTTTGGTTGATCTCGCTATTTTGGGACAATCTGTAATTCATGTCTTTGCCCTATCACACGATAGCTTGGAGGCTGGATATCAATGAAAACATTCAGTAAACGCGCATTCCACATAATGTTCAAATTAGGTACGCAGCCACACACACTGCATCTCCCAGTTATGGAGTCTATACAAAAGGATAAAAGGATAAAGTCTTCGCCGTTGATCAATCCCTTTGTGGGATGCGGCACGCATTCTACTTCCATTCAGAATCGTAGTGGCTTATTGAATGCGATGTGGCCTATACAATGACTTGCGGTGGCCAGCCGATGTACAAGTCAGTGTTTTATCCTCCCAGACGAATCTGGTACCAATTTACCGTCCCCGGAGGGTAGAAGGCTTGGTTGGCCTGGGCGGGTGTCGACCCGGGATTCGAACCCGGCGCCGCGCGAGTGGTAAGCGCGCCACTTGTCACTACACCACCTCGGCCGCAACGTTGTCATGGTAATGGCAGGAAAGTCGGCAATG